AAAAACAGAAATACATCTACATGATATAAACCCTGCGTATTTCCTCTGCACTGCCTGTCAGCACCTGTGTCTGATTGGACCAGAAGCCGTTTATAGCTCTCAGTGACGTTGGTTTCCTTCTGTCAAGATCCGTGCTTGTGTTGCTCATCTCTTTGGATCATCTGCTAAAGGAAGTCAAGGATAGTAATTCCAGCCTATTTTTTAAATGGTAAATAATCCCACAAAACGTGTGTTACTACAGTTTATGCAGCACAGAAAAAACTATGTGAAGTTATTATAATACAGGACTAAATAACAACAACAACAACAACAATCTGATTATACCAATCAGACAATTGACAATTAAAAGAGGATATGTGTTCCTGTATCTCATCACCACAGTTGTTCTAAATAAATAATGTCATTCCAAACTGATCCATTATTACTGAAGTGCATAGGTGCCCCACTTAGAGAATAAATCATTACAGTAATGTAACACATTGAGTGTGAACAGTATGACCTGCAGGGAGCCTGACTCGCAGCAAACCTGCTGCTCTGACCTCTGGCTTTAACCCGCAGACTGTGAACATACTGATGTAACCCAGCATCCCACTGTCACCTCCCCTCGCATAAACACAATTGATTGCATCCTGTTTGTATTATGCAACAGTAATCAGGAGTTCAGTTTACATAAGGAGCCCCCCCCCCCCCCACATAATGCCCCCTGCAGACGACAGGCTAAAGTACTCCCAGCATCCTCTCTGGCATGTTGAGAAGTTAACTAAATGAGCTCATGCTGCATAATACCTTTTGAATATTCTGCAGTTACATGCTGGAATTCTTCCACGTGTACATGGAGCTCACATGGAACGAGGCGTGATAGGAACAGCTTTGGTTTTTCTTTTTTTTTTTTTTGCAAACGTCACAGACAACATAAACACGCATAGCCGCTCTGCTATCCAGATTGACACGCAGCTGTGAGATGCCTTGGGTGAAGGCGTAGGGAAAAAAAGGCACATGGCAAAGAGTGATGCAAGGCCCCAAAGAAGCTGATGAGCCGTATTCTTATCTCGACGCCACCCTGTCTTACTCATCCTTCTCAGTGAAGTTAAAAAGTTCAGAGAAAAGGCTCGGTGTAAATCAGGTGCCTCGTTCCCTCTCAGAGCGGTCTGACAGAACGGATACCGGCTCTTAATTGATTAAAAGTCTTTATTGCTCTAAATATCTTACCTGTGATGGTACCGTGTATTTAACGATACACACTTTACACCCACAGGGGTCCAACCTTGATTTATTGATGCTAAAAGATAATGTCTCAAAGGTTATGCCTGTACGCCTTGTACCTAGTTTAACATTTTTACTATATCAGATTATTGCCAAAAATATTTTGCAGATTGGGGTTGAACATGCTATGTTGAAGTGCTGGTTTCTATGACAACAATGCATCAGCCAGTATGTCCTCCTTCTAACTTTAGATTCTGCTCCTGAATGGTCTGTTTTTGTTTTAACCAGAGAAGGTAGGCGGTTTAAAGGAACCCCCACACACGTTTTGACGCCCCCCCCCCCACCCGACTAATTCTGCCAGGCAGACGGACTAAAATGTATCTTCATTTTTCTAATAAGCTCCACGAGCAGAAACATAGTAAGACTAGGATAAATATTTTGAAAAATGGAAAGAAGTCAGAGCGCAGAAAGGTTTCAAAGCCAAAGCAGAGCTGGCTAAACACTGAAGCTTCTGTGTCCGCGTCATGGCAACCAGCATGCGCATCGTTTTGGGTGGGACGACAACTGCAGTACCCATATTAATCACTGCGTGTCAGAGTTACTTATTGCTGCTTTAAGATTTGAATAAACACGATGAATGACTCAATGAAAAGAAACGTCTGTTAACTTCAATGATGTCACTGTGCCGAGCTGCCTCATTGATAATGAAAGACACTGACTTAAACTATTCGGATTTTATTACTGTGAAATGATTTTGATTTCACAAACATCTTTTACAGCCCCCACCATGACACACACGGAAAAATCACACGGCGGTATATTGCATTACAAAGTCTGCTATTCATCGTCAGCTGGTGCACTCAGTTCACAGGCAGACTCTACTGGAGACATCAGCACGTTGCCTCGCCTTGCTTTTCTCTCTAATGGATCATGGGTCTGGTAAGCAGATAATATTGGCCTGGGATTAATTTGAGGGCATTTGAATGAGAAGACGATTATAGTGTACGATTTTCTAAATGAACGAGAGAGAAAAGCAATGGCAGTCGAAGCTGCTGATTTTATAAAGAATATAAAATACCTAATTGTACTGGTTGAAACAGGGAAGAGAGAGAGAGAGCTGGGGGGGTGGAACAACATGCAGGAAAGGAACCACAGGTCGGATCTCAACCCCGGGCTGCCGGCCTGGAGGACCGCAGCCTCCACACATAGGACGCACTAACACCTACACTACTGGTGCCCTGCAGCACACTTTTTTAAGCCGAGTTTAACATTATTTTCTGTTTGCAATTGTAATTTGCATTTATGCATTTATGCATTTTCCATTACGAAGGACAGTCAGTTGCTTTCTAGTTTTCTACTCTATTGCAGCCACGCTTGCACATAAATCTGTCTTAACCAATGTACTAAGTGCATCGTTAAAGAAACGTCATCTGATCAAGTTCTGTCAATCACTGCACGTCTGAATGGTATCTAGGAGGATTTAGCAAACAACCATCAACAGAGGAATCCAACAACACATTAAGCAGCGGTTAAAATGGAAGCTGAACTTTCCTGACGTCTGCAAACCGTTAAATGTACGGTAGGATATCATGCATGTGATAATCCCGTCATGCTGCAATGCATCATGGATCTGATAGAAGCAAAGCTTACTGTGAAGGTATGAAATGATATCAGTGCATCTTATGTCTTAATTCAGTAAACGAATGAGCTGCAGATGTAAAAAGAAATACACAGCTTCCACTGCTGTCATCGTGCTATGTAAAACATGTTTCATGATCTTTTATATTTTTCTAACATGCTGACAATGTGATATGAAACCAGCTGAACAATATGAGCTCTGTTGAATCTGTTTTCTAACTGGATTTATCAGTCAAGAGAACAACTAGCTTTTTTTCAAGCCGAGGGTCGATTTAGGCCAGAATTCATTTGAGTTTTCCAATAAGAAAGTTTGGCTGCAGGGCATCGCCTAAAAATAAAATCTCTGATACCTTCACATCACACTGGAGTTAAGAGTTAGAGCTGTAATCCATTTCATGCTGTTGCTATTACATGAGGTGATTTTCTGTCGTCTTGTGGGATTTTGCAGTGCCGCTTACGTCTCCGACTCGAACCTGGGACAGAAATAATTTAATGCTTAATTTCATTTACATCCTTTTTCACTTTTTTAAGATTTTTTATTTAGTTTAAAAACAGTTACAGGATGTTTTGAGTGTATTGTTTCATATCTGTGACATATTCTACAGATATAGACATTGAAGTGAAGTGAATGGTGTAATGTTGCTGGTTTTATGTTTAAGTCAAGGCTCCTATTGCTTCATGTGTGGCGTTATTAAAGTAACATACATGTTACCACCAGCTTTTTGGAGAGAACCATTATTTCACTCTTACTGGCTACTAGTGCTGGTGTTTGTGAATTGCACAGCTTTTGCCATGAAGCACATTTGCACACAGGCCTAATTCCACCTGAATGTATGCATAATGGCTGATTTCACTACATGTTAACAGCTCCGCAGACTCCACTTTCACATGAGTAGTGTGATGTGCATTTCACTCTGTGTTTGCTTTTATCAGACGTACGAGCTGTGCAGTCATGGGCCCCCACCACCCCAAATCAATAGCAGGGGAAACACTGAACTGACTGTATGTTTAAACTACACATGTATTGTTGTGAGTTTATTCTCACAGAGGACTGATCGCAAATGTTTTCAGTCTGAGCCAATCAGCACAACCTGCCACTGTTCAACTTAAAAAAAAAGGAACCTGGACTTTTAATCCTATTAATTCCCTGTTTTAAGACCGTTTGGTATTTAACGTTACACAACAAATATGACCATGCTGCTCTGACTGCTTTGCATTCCTCTCCTGCCTTTTACTAAATCCTGTTACATACTCAAAGCTTACTGATGGCTTGGCCTAAAAGCTTTAAGGAAAGCGGAGGACATTCATTTAACTCTTTAAATCATAAGTGTACATCCATCCATTCATCCATTATCTTTACTGGTTATCCCGGTGAAGATCATGTGGGGGCTGGAGCAGATTCCAGCTGTCACTGTGTGAGAGGCAGAGTACACCCTGGACTGTTCACCAGTCAATCACAGGGCTGACATATAGAGACGGACAAGCAGCCACACTCACATTCACACAGGCATTTCAGAGTCACCAATTAACCTAACGAGCATGTCTTTGGACTGTGGGAGGAAGCCGGAGTACCCGGAAGGGAAACCAACGCATGCACGGGGAGAACATGCAAACTCCACACGGAAAGGCAGCCGGCCGAGGTTTCCAACAACCAGGTAGGTTCATGCTGTGAGGCGAGAGCGCTAACCACTGCACCACCATGCAGCCTTAATCATTTGTATGTGAGATATAAGTAAACAGTGATAGTGTATATATGTTGAATGTCAAAAAGGTTTAGGATGTATGCAGAAAATCAAACAAACCTGATTGTAAAAAAAGATTTTAAAACTACTCCTTCATCTCTTTTTTATGATAACACCGGACAAACAGACAGTGAGATGTGAAAAGACCTCCTTTGGTAACAAATTAAAGTAAATTAAATGAATTAGGCGGGATGGCTACTCCAACGGGAAGCTGGAGAGCCTCGCACTGTGACTGAACGGAGTCCGTTTCTTCATGTGATATCTTTATATCTATCTATAAAGAGATGATAAACAGACTAAGATACACATCAGGATGTCAGTGATGAGAGAGACATACATGGAGGGTGGGGGGGGTGGGTGGGGGGGCTGATGGTGGGAGGAGCTGATGGCAGGCTGGGTCCACACAGAGCGACTCACTTGGCCAGCTTGGTCTCGATCTGCTGGCGGATTTCCTGACGCTCCTGATCGCTGCGGACGGGGAAGATGTTGCGATCCTCCAGCTCCTGCTTGCTGGGTCGGTTCCGAAGCTTCACGGCGAGCAGCTCCTTCCTCATCCTGCGCGGGAGGGTCCCTGTTGTTGTTGTTGTTGGGCACAAAGTCAAGGTCAGCTTTAATGTCAATAAGGTACTGGTGACTTAGTAAAAAAAAACACAGAATTTAAATACCACCAGCAGGGGGCTCTCGATCAAAACAATAACAAAAAGATGACGTCAAGGCTGGCGGGGAATCATGGGAGTTTTCTCTGCTACCCCCTGCCCCCCCATGAAAACGATAAAGTCAAGACGAACGGGCAAAAATTGACCCGAGGAAGAGAATATGTTTACCGACCATGTATCTGAGTATAATTCACATGACGTTTTTATCACAGCAGCACATACAGCAACAGTACGGCAACTTTCGCCGTTTCCTTGGCAACGATAAACCTTTTTGTGTCTGTCATGGCGGCCGCTGCGACATCCCGTTACAACTTTAAAATTATGGATTTCTCTGGCTTTGATAACTGTTGGAAATATTTGAGGTAATGTAAATACTCAACAAAAAATTATATAACACAGGTTTAGTCAGTTTTTAATTAATTTAGATATTTTGATGTAAAATTCTAAGAACAAATCTTATTATTATATTATATATTATTATATTCTACCTTTAAAGTGCCAGGAGCTTCATGCTGTATGTTCACCTGATCAGAGGAGGTCAGTAGAATATGTAAAGTGACATTAGTGTAAAGTGTTCGGGGTGATTTTGTGATTTTCCTGCTCAGGTCTGGGGTGGTGAAGTGGTGAGCCAAACTCAGGTTAAATAAGCACTGAGGTTTGTTTTGGAGCTGCCAAACATAGTTCTGCAGCTTAACCCTGTGAACTGTTCCAGATAATCACACAGTGTGCCTTTGTGTTGACTCATAAGAGCTAACACCTTGTTAATTAAATGCATTTCCCACAAACACTTTCTGCAAGACGTTAACAAGATGTATGCACTTTGTGTTCTCTTTTCAGATTAGTTATTTATTCCCTTGTCATGTGTAAGTCGTGCTTTTACTCTGAAAATTCATATACAGTAAATACAAATACACATATAGAAAAAAACTGAATGCATGTTAAGACAGTATGCCATCCTGCTGCACGGCTGCTATGCATACCAACATCAGTCTGTCTTCTTGGAACATTGTGAAAGTGTTTTCTTGTCTTGCTGCTTTATCTCCACACCTTTAATCTGTTAATTAATCAACACTACATGCACAGAGGGCTCTAAGTTAGACCTGCCTTTGTTTTAAAAACAACATACCGCTACATCAGGCTAGTAAAGGGGACAGGACCTTAAATTGGGATGGGTGTTTTATTTGAAGTTTTACAGTATTTAGGTCAAAGCGTGTATTCCTCTGACACCACTCACAGCCTTCAGTGGATGTGGATAGGTTTGGACAATGCAATTTTCCCTCATTCAACTCCTGCCACAAACTCAGACTCAGAATCTGACAGTGGTCTTGACTCTGATTTAGATGCTCTGGGGCTTTCATGCAGCTTTATTATTATTTTTTGCCTTTTTTCTTTGGCTTCAGCTTCACGTTGGGGGTTAGTCTACCGGAAAACACTGTTAGGCTTAACGAAAAATTGCAGTTTCCAAGCAGACTGCAGGGAGGTTTCCCTCCAAAATGAGTTTGTGTTTGCTGTTTTTTTCTTCTTTCTAATATCCTAATCTGTTACTACATATAAATGTGACGCCATCAGTTGTGTCTCAGATCGCAATTTTAGTTGCAGCAGAATTAGAAAGTGAAAGCCCCATTTATTTCCCTCTCATATACACTGTTATTAGATTCACTATTCTTCCTCTGGGCCATAATAAAACTCTCCCAGATGAGTTATTGATGGCTTGCTGGGTTTTTCACACGTCTCCTTTTGAATAGAACATCTACTCATCATTTATTAGACATAGTGACGGTTATTTTTCATCTCGAGTCAGTAGTCATAGATTCATACCAAACAAATGATCTACACGTTGTGGGTTTCATACTTTTGTGTTGTATTTGCAATAAATTTTGGTTTATTGTGACAATTCTTTCTCCCTGTGACATTCGGGCCCCCTCATATAATGGTAGGGGAAACACTGCGGATAAAGTCCTCATAATTTACAGTCTACATGGCTCATTCAGAAAGCTACCCTCGTCCCTCTGCTGACGTCTCCTCTACCAACCATTTACTTTGCTGCCTCTGCAGTCATTACATGTTTAGAAAAAGATACTTTTGGGTAGATATTAGACAGGACAGCTGAAGAGAGAGATGACATGTCAGGAGGAGAGAGTGGGGATGACATGCAGCAAAGGGACTTGGTTGCATTCAAAGCCACGACCGCTGTGGTGAGGACTGTAGCCTCTGAACATGGGGCACGCAACAAAACCACTAGGCTATCCGGCGCCCCAGTCATTATATATTTGTATCATATGGAGTCTCCCTCCTTAATGGTGGCATGCATACAAGCCATTTCCATGGTTACTCCTCAGTCTACCCTTCAATATTTCTGATATAGTCTGTCACAGTTGCAGACATATTATCCCCAGCCGGCGGTGCACCAATGACCCACATGAATGACCAAGAATTAGGCCATCAGAGCAGATGTTGACGGGCGGTTGTAACTTAACACCAGTAAGTCTGCTCCCCGTCATCACTGTAAATCTCCCTGTCATGCTCTCACTGTAAACAAATATCAGCAGAGCATTACACTGCTTCATTAAGCACCGACAGGCTGCCTGGATTTGGTCGGCTTCCTTGCACATCATAGGAACAAACATTGCAACCGCGCGCCGACAGCAGACCTACCGGAGATCACAGAGTCGTTCCAGCTGTCCTGGTCGCTCAAGTATTCGTTCAGACGCCAGTTCTCTTTGTTCTCGTCCGACTCCTTCTTGCTCTCCGACTCCCCGGCCGGCTCCTTCTCCGTGCTGGACGAGCGGGACAGACGGCCGTCGAGCCGCCGCTTCAGAGATGAGCGCGAGTCCTTTGTCTGAAAACTTTAGATCACACAGCACGAGACAAACCTTTCAATTACAAATTAATTGTATCACAGCTGCAGAGAGTTCTCCAGTCGGGTTGGAAAGTGTACATTCACTTTTGGTCACCAATAAATACAACTTCTTACGTTTGAGCTTGAATTCTAGTGTTCTGTTCAGTTCAGTCTGTTCAGAGTTTGGGGAGGCACTATCCTTTAATAACGGATTATATATTTTTTGTGTAAATTAAAGTTTAAGCTTTCTTCTAAAGTGTCTATTGTCATACATATCATTGGATGAGGCCCACAGAGTAGAAACTACAACACAAACAAACACAGTCTGACCTGTCCTGTCTGTGTTTGCTGGCCAGGGCGCGGTGCAGTTCCTCAATAATACAGCTAGGGGGCAGTTGTTGGTGTAGTGTCCCCAGGTGCGGGGACCCAGTGGGTGTGGACATCCTGGCCCTCAACAGGGATCCATGGGGGTCTTTGGGAAGTGTGAAGTTCCTGGGTAGGGTGGCTGGGGACTTCTTAACCGGCACCCGAGGAGCACCTTGAGAGGTAAAAATCATCAAAGTGAGACGTGAGTGCTGCAACTCATCGGGGGCCTCACATCAAAGCTCCTCTGGGGAAACTCACCGTCCAGGCTGCCGAGTCTGGTGAGCAGTTTGACCGGCTTGTTGGGGGGAATAGAGGTGCTGGCTCGTCTCGGAGGCAGGGGTCCTGTCGCCTCGGGTTTGGCTTCGACAGACTCCACCTTCACGGTCGGCTGCTCGTCGATGGGGTCGCTCATTGACGTGCTCTCGTCTTCTCCATCCTCGCTCTGACTGGGGTCTCCCACTGTCTTTGTATCTTCACTCAGGTCTTGCACTGAAATGAAACACGAGCGACGTTAATGCAGAGCTTTGATTTGGATTGGCAAGTCTCTGTCACCACCTAGTGGACGATATGGGACACTGCATCTCAAACTGGAGCTGCCAGCAAAAAGCTCAACTAGGTACACATTTTATATAGTTCTGGTAGTTATCTAGACTTCTCCACTAATGATCACTCATCTTATTATTTTATAAAGTAAGGTTAATGTTTTCCTTTGATTGCTGTTGGTGTGCGCACACACAATAGAGCTAGCAGTTATTTCTTCATAAATAGACCAAGGCTGTTTAAATACCTATGAGCCCCTTCATCCCCTCTGATAATGTGAAGAGGAGCACTCTCAATTTAGGCTTTCTCTGAAACGATTCAGCACACGCTTAATATGAGAGGACTTTTCAGTAAGTGAAATAAATGACTCGTTCCTTTTATACAGAAGCTGTTAAAATTCACATTTTTCTACCCCGACTGCAAAAATGGATGATGGCAGTGACCTGCTCGTGAACTTTAATGCTGCATGTATTTTGGATTAGGATGTGAAATGATTTGGAGGCGGACACATCTGGCTGAGGATGTTCTCCCTGATGTGTTTGTTATGATCCTGACAAACGTCTGCTGTATAAATGTGTTATTTGTTCCCTTTTATGTCGAAGTGTTTTTTTATTTTTGTATTTATATGTTTGGCTGCTCGTTGTTTGTCTGAAACTTCTAAATTGTTTTTTCTAAGCTGCCTGTCTGCAGGACATTCTCGAAAAAGAGATTTTAATGAGTTTCTTTCCTGGTTAAATAAAAATGCATTACTGGATCATTACTGTCAAAAAACCTTCTGCAGCTCAGGAGTAGGGTGGTTAGCACTGCTGCCTGATAGCATGAAGGTCCTGGGTTTGAATCTAGTTGTCACTGTGTGTACTTTGCATGTTCTCCATGTGTCTGCCTGGGAATCCTCAGTAAACAGATATAAGACACAAGCCAATAAAAACATCTTTAACTGACTGAGACATGAATATATCAGTAGAAAATCACTTTACACAAACTAACAATCTTGATATGTATCACCTTACTAGTTTTGTTTTTTTTTAATTGTGAACAGGATACAGACTGAGCAGTCAAAATGAGAGATGCAGTGACTGTGAAAATCCGGGCTGATTGCAGATTCTGATGTTTGTTTCATGACTTCTTTTGGTGTCAGACTCCCACAATGTCGACATTTCCTCTCATGTTTGACGATGAAAACAAGTCAGAGTTTGTTCACAATGTGACTTCATCTGCCCAATAACAAAAAACTCGTCTCTGAATCAGTAGTTAGGTATACACGATGTCAGCATTAAATCGATTTGGCACAACAAACAAACATTAGTTACTGACATCGGCTCATGCACCGATATTTGTCTGTCAACACGGCCGATATCCGCTGATACCGATCTTGAACCCGTGCATCCCAAATAAAAACACAGTTCAAGTTCTGTCTTGTAAACATTTTTTTATGATGATATGTTTCAATGAGATGTTAGCAGATAGAGCATCTTGTTCACGTTATAAATGTTCTAGATTAAAAATGTTGTGGCCCTGTGGCCCCTCCCATTAAACAGTATAACTGTAACAGAATGATCATTAATTCATCGTCTGTTTTTGGTACCAGCCTGAATCTGAGTCCACTGTTTACTCTCTTTAGGCTCTGCCTTCAGACCCAACCCCCTCTTTAAGTGGAATCGATGCTTATTCAGAGTTTGTTACTGAGTCTTGTCTGCTGTGTGCTGCTGGAGATAAAGTCTAGAGCAAGAGAGCCACATTCATTAAAACAGCTGACTTTTACAAATGGAAAAAAAAGGTCGATAAGAGCCGGTGAGAATAAACCAAACAGTCAATTTGTTGGGTAGAAAAACAAAAATCGATGAGATGTAAAAATGTTCCACACACAGCAGAGACTCCGGGGTAGTACCTGAATCACACCTTTGACCCCGCAGAGCCATTTGATTCATTATTTATATAAGTAAGGATTAAAGCTAAATGAAGTTGAAGGCATGTGTGATTGATTAGTGTGGCTTTAACCCTTTATGGGAAAACAAACAACAACCACAAAATAACACAGAGGGACCCACGCATTGCACTCTACCTGTGGAGGCCTCTAAGTCACTGCCCAGCTCTTCATTGGTGCTGGCCAGAGGTGCCACGAGCTCCTCGTCTCGGTCCTCAGCGTCTGAGTGATTTGGGGTGTCTGGATCTTCAGAGTTTCCCCCACAAGCAACGTCTGACTCTGCATATGGTGCACAGTAAACAAGCACACGGGTGAGTCTGTGGAGCGGTTGGGCATCATGTGGCTTACCAAGTGAATCGAGATCAGCTTAGAGATTCTGTGTGTGTGTGTGTGTGTGTGTGTGTGTGTGTGTGTGTGTGTGTGTGTGTGCATCATTTTGCACCTGTCTCTGTCTCCCCAGGGTTCCTCCTGACGAGGTCATCTCTCTTCTGACGTACAACCGCCCTCTTCTCCCCCGCTAAACAACACAGCACATTTATGAATTTTTTTTTAAAAAACACTGGATGACTGATTGCATGCAAGATGAAAAACATGTAAAGCCATCCTCCATGTTTTGTTATCTCTGCTTTCCAATCTTCAGCACAGTGTTTAGTATCAGTGGCAGAAAGAACAAAATATATTTCACTCACTCGTTGAAGGCTTCAGCTTCTCGTTTTTCTTTTTCCTCCATTTCCACGGCTTGAAGATCCGCCCCAAGCTCGCCAGCTTGCTGTTGCGACGGACGGGAGGCGTACGAACCCCTGAGACCAGGCAACCTGGATGCAACGCCCTCTGCTGGTCCATCACATCTACAACACAAAAAAACAAAACAGCTGCCTTTAAAAAAAAAAAAAAAAAAAAAAACAGGCTGCAGGAAAACAAAATCCAGCCTTAACACAACACGCACTTGTGACACCAATCAGGCCGCCGATAATGTGGCTATCACAGGAAGTCCTGACATCACTTCTGACACAGCTGGCCGAATACTGACCCCCCCCCCCCCCCCCCCCCTCATCATCACATGAGAGCGACACATGTGGGTCAGTGGCTGTGAATTCTTCATTGATTGAAGGCTTATTGCTGAGAAGCGAGAGACTCGGAGAAGACAGAGAATCACATTGTTTGTGTGTGACTCACATGGTTTCAGGGCAGCCAGACCTTCCTGGCCCCAAACCCACTGACAATAGAAGGCTTGAAACACACACACACACACACACACACACACACACACACACACACACACACGCAGAATAAATAAAATCAGCTTCAGCTCAGCTGCTTCCTCTGAGGTCAGGGCAGACATCTGCAGCCAGAACCTCCAGCTGATTTAACACTATTTCAAACTGCCTCCTTATCTTATCCACATAGAGGCGCATTACAGCACAGTCGACATCATACAGTGATGTCAGCATCAGCTAATGCTACATGCTAATACTGCAAGAGTGGCAGAGCAGTGCAGCTGCCTCTTCACTCACACTTGTTTTTTTTTATTCAGCACTATTTTTTTGTTACAAACATTTATTCTAGTGTGTTAGCAGGCCTGTTTTTTTCTAAAGGATGACGTATTTTACAGTATTTTACAGTATTTTACAATATGTTTTCACAGTATATAAACGTCAACTCCCCTCCTGTTTGCTTGAGCTGAATTCTCTGGAGTATAATACTCTGCTGCGTTCTCACATCAGCTCACCTGGACTCGGAAAAAATACATCTCCTCCTGGAAATATCAGCAGTTTTTCAGGCGTTTTCTGCAAGTGTGAAAGCGCCATCAGTTAAGACTTTAATGTTCGCACATCGTTCTTGAACAAGACTTCAACAAAGATCTGAGTTTGTTAAACCAACTGGTTAACTCATACTACACCGGGCGAATTGTATTTATTGTCGCTTTAAAAGTTTTCCCTGCATTTTTCTCTTTCGTCTGTAAAAATGTCACAACTTGTACATCGAAGCTTTCGAGAACTGAAGGTGACAAATTCAAGCAGCTTGGTATTTAAAATAAAGAAGCAAGATCATGAAAAAATCTTCACGACATAGAAATGTGTTTTAAATTTGTCTCAAACTATATACACTGAAGATCTGCTGATGGATTGCCTGACTAACAGAGAGAAGACGCTCTGATTGATTGATTAACAGCGACCGTTTAGTCGATGGCTATTCCTCCTATAGCTGGTACTTAGTGCTGCTCAGTGTGAAGGGTGTGCAGGAGGCATCACGCTGACAGACAGATAGACAGCCACGAGAACTACAGAGACACACCGAGCTGACTTCTGCATGGAGTAGCAAAGCGAGAGGGAGTTAGACATTAAGAGGTTCCTTAGAGAAAGGACAGAAATAGACACTCCCACACAGTCTGGCTCCAACAACACCGAGCTGACACCTCAGGGAGCCTGCAGCTGAGCAGTGGGCTGTACAAGGAGCGCTAAATGAATGCCTTTTTTTTTTCTTCTGTTAGCAGAATTGGACTTTAGCCCATGAATGAAGTCAATTGCCGAAACTCCCTTTACATATCCCCACAATCTATTACCAGCTTCTTGTTTAAATCAGTAAAAAAAAAAAAGGGAACTGTGCATCAGGGTGTAGCTGCTCCTACAAGCCAAAGACAGGAGAGACTTTATTTGTGTAAATGATTAAATGCTAATGAAGGATTCTGTCTTATGGAAGCTAATGGGTTAGCAATGATGTTGTTTTATGCACATTTTCAAACTTGTGTCTTCATTAACTGCTCCAATGAAAATGTACTTAAGGGAATAAAGTCAACTTGGAGCTCGTGATTGGATCCTGTATGCCGTGAAGTGATTTGTAATGTTCAACATGAAATCTAAATATCCAGACACTAACCATTACCAGTCTCAAAAATCTCAATTCAGAAGTCACTCTTTTACTTTTTCAAATATGTCAACTCAATGAAAATCCATATCTCCAAAACACCTCATTCAAACGTTTCCAACATCAACACCTAGAGCTGCTCGATCATGGCAAAAAAACTGAATCACGATTATTTTAATTGATATTGAGATTGTTTAACAAAATGACTTGCATCACATGAATTTACTGGACTTACTCACACTCTCTGAACACTTTGAAAAACAAGCTATTCATGAAAATCCAACCATCTATTATCTTAACCGCTTTTTCCTATTCTGGGTCGCGGGGTGCTGGAGCCAATTCCCTCCCAGGTGTCATTGGGCAAGAGGCGCAGTTACACCCTGGACTGTACTCCAGCCAATCACAGGGCTGACATATAGAGACACACTCACATTCACACCTACAGGCGATGTAGAGTCACCAGTTAACCTAACGAGCATGTCTTTGGACTGTGGGAGGAAGCCGGAGAGAACCCACACATGCACAAGGAGAACATGCAGACTCCACACAGAGAGACTGCTGCCTGGCCGTCGGGGGTTCAAACCAGGAACCTCCTCGCTGTGAGGCCACAGCGCTAACCAAGTGAAGAAGTCAAAATATAAAAATAATAATGAGATGTTTTAAAGGCGTATCAAATGTTCCTCAAAGTACATTTATCTACCTGAACGCAGCATCAGCACATGACATATTCTCATACAGAATCAGTAAGAGTTTTGCTTCTTGTCAGTGGAATACACAAGAAACAAAAAACTACAAAAATTCAGCAGGAAAAGAAAACTGAAAGCATGCTATGATCTCAATCAGCTTTTACTCCGACCATTGCTGCTTGCTGTGAATATTCTAGTTTAAAAATTAATACGTGTCCCAGATTGATTATTTAGTACATCCAGTCAGACGAGCAATAAGACAAACAAATTAACTGAAGAAGCTAAAACCAGAGGTGTTTTTTTTTTGTTTTTATTAATTGGAAACCTCACCAGGTTTTCTAAAAGCCACCAATCAGAGACTCCAGTTTCATCTCTACTCTACTGGCATCACTGCACTTACAAATGCAAATGATTAGATGTGAGAGATGCACATTAGATAACATGATACATCCTCAGAACACGAGGCCAAACGATGGTTGAGTTTACTGCTCCATGAAAAGCCGTCGATCAGCAGCTCGGCTTTTATCGACACAAAAAGCTTCTTGACTGCCTGCAGTGAGAAGCAGGTCAGTCGCCCAAGTCATGCGCGCCTGCAGAGGATGCAGTGAGGAATTCAGGTCAAGCTTGTAGTAACTGTAGCAGCATGCACACACCCAGGGTCAGGCTGCCGTTGCCATGGCGACCACGCTGGATGCTGCAGAAAAGGCCCTTGGAGGCAGAGAATCATCACAGCATGAGGAATAGGGAGTTGCTGGGTGGATGAGAAGACTGTTGCCACACAGAGAGACGGCGAGCTGCAGCCAATCACAGCCAGCCGTGCAACGATGCATAATGTAAAGTCAGGGAGTGAGCTGCTGTATTTTTAATTTGTAAGTTGATGTTGAAATATTAATTCTTGTGTTAGCGCAGGAGTGAGCACTGACACAGTTTTTTTTTTTCCTCTCCTGCAGATGCACATGTTAGGAAGATATTTTCAATGAAATGTGCAGAGCGGTGTAGCCTAAAGCTGAGCGCTCTACTGCTGCAAACAATACGAGTGCTGAGGAGGCTCCAGTCCAAACATCCTCATCACTCACATTTACTTTAACTTGAAGTCATGATGTTTAAACTCCAGCTTTTTTTTTTTTAGATAATGCTGTCTCAAGAGGAAGAGGTTAAGTTAATAAGAAAATGAACACAATAAAAAAAGGAAGGATAATACCTTTAGCACATTAATATTACTGAATACAAAGCCATAAAACGCATTAATATTAAATATTATTGTAGGCAATTATGACATTTAGAAATTAGATATTTCAGACAAGTTAAAAAAAATAAAAAATAGTAAATATGATTTATTTTAATCCTGAACTTCATAACTCTATTATATAAAGGCAAACTACACGTTCTTCTTACATTGATAATACTTTTTGAATGTGATTGAAGGAGATTAAAGAAATCAATGACATGCAAAAAAAAAAGTCACGTTATTGAAAAAACGTCAGACCACAAACCGGTTCATTCACACAATCGCTAGTTAAAGACATTTGCCTATACATGTATCAGCTTAAAGTGAATTTACAAACATTTAAAGTCAAATTTGGAACATGTTTTTTTTCCCCCTTGTCTCAGGATTTAGTGACCAATTTAACTCTGGGAGGGTTTTGGTGAAAGCAGCACCACGAAGTACAACTCCCGAAAAGCAGATTCCATGACAAGCTTTGTGTTATAATAAGATACATGATGTGCTACTCAAAAGACTAAAAAGTCAAAGTCTCACTTACATAGAATAACAGCTCCCCAGTCCTCGTGCGGCATTCGGTATTCACATCATATGATCCAAAAAAAAAAAAAAAAGCTGACGAGCTAAAAACAACCGGAGACTGAGGGACTGTCAGCCGCTGTGAGTTTCAAAATATTAAAAATCTACGAGAAAAAAAAGAAAAAAAAAAAAAAGGTGTAGAGTAGAAAGAGAGAAGAGAAGAGAGAGACCAAACCGAGTGTGAGCGGATTGAGCGGCTGCTGTAACTCTACTGTTGATGTGCCATGTGTGGACCCCGGCCCTCCGGACGGGAGGAGGCGGGCAAATAAACTGGCACACACCGGCACACACTCATCTTGTACAGCACAGCACTGTAGTTACTACAATAGATTAAGATAGATTACAAATGACGTAGACGCGCGCGCGCGCACACACACACACACACACACACACACACACATACACACACACACACACGAGTCATTAATGTTGTATATTTATTGTCTTCTGACCTCAAACTTATATGATTTAAAATATTTATTCTCAAAAACAACAT